CTCTCTCTCTCTCTCTCTCTCTCTCTCTCTCTCTCTCTCTCACACACACACACACACACACACACACACACACACACACACACACACACACAGATCAAGAGAAAGTCAGACCCGGACTCGGACTGAGACCCAGACTTAGAGTCCCAAAGAGACACAGAGAACCCAAAGCAAGAGAACCCAGACCCAAATGCAGACCAAGAGCCAGATGTCAGAGTCCCCTAGACACCCGAGGGAGCCAAACCGAGAGGAATCAGACCCAGAACCGGAGCCAGAACCGGATGCCGAAGTCCCATAAAGACCACACGGCTCTGACCAAGAAAAATACAACCCCAGACCAAGCCTAGATGTCAATGTCCCGGACTCGAGTCCCAAGGGGGCACTGTGACAGCAGACCCAAACCAAGATGACCCAGACCCAAATGCAGACCAAGACCAAGATGTCAGAGTCCCCTAAAGACCCAAGGGAGCCAAACGAGAGGAATCGGACCCAGACCTGGAGCCAGATTCACATGCAAAAGTCCCATATATACCAGAGTACGATCCCAGACCAAGACCCAGAAAGGCCAAGAGGAGGGCAACCAAGAGGAACCAGACCCAGACCTAGACCCAGATGACAGAGCAGAGAGACCCGAAGTACCCAAAACAAGAGGACCCAGACCCAAGGCAAGATCAAGATCGTAGTGTCCCACAAAGTCCAAACAAAGAGTCGGCAGATCCTCAAGTACATGCACAAAACCCAGACCCATGGAATCGGTCACAGCGCACAAAAGCATACACTATGGTGGTCCGAAAGTCCCCCAGTAAAAATGATGGATGTGGCGGCGTAAACGCATTAACCACCAGTACGAGCCCCCTCCTCCACAACTTCAGGCCGTATACAAGCGGGCCACACTTCAATGTAAGGGCAGTGGGAAAAAAAAATAGGTTCGGCAATTTTTTAAGGTCTGCCGCACTGGCACTTTAAGACCTACGCCCTTTTGCCAAATGGAACACACTAAAATTATTGCCTTGCCTAATCTTAATCTTAACCTAGGCTGGTCCCCAGTCAGCCCGGCTGGGGGAAGGTCGCCTGGGTACCCTCCCGGGCGGCCCGGGCCGGGCAGTGGCCGGGCAGGGTCCCGGGCAGCCCCAGCGCATAATATTAAAAAAAATAATAAAATTCGAAAATTTCAAAAAAAAACTGGAAAAAAAATATGTTGTGTAAAATTGCAGTAGAAGCAAACTTTGGCTGAGGGTCCCCTCGAAATTCTTTATTAATTTTAAGATAAAAATAAATGAGGAGAAATGAGGTAAGATATACCCTTTTAAACCCCTCTAGTCAATGTTGAGAGTAACGTTATAACCCCCAAACACCCCTCTGGAAGACGCACCACCGAAATGCAAGGAAGGCCGGATTCTGACTGCTCAGGCCGAGCGCAGTACTGTTCTGAAGTCAGTTTCTTTTTTTTGGAGATCCTTCCCTCTTTTTTGACCCACCTGCTGGTTTTGCCGGGTGATCCCCCCCGGCCCAGCTGGCCCGGGCATGCCTGGCCAGGCGATGGTCCAGCCTAGATCTTAACAGTCTTGCAACAACAACAAAAAGAGAAGAAAAACAAAAGGTTTGTAAACAATACAGGTGTCGTCGCTATGAGTTGTGGCCAAGGAAAGATCGTACAAAAAAGAAGAAAAAGAAAAGACGGCAACACTAGTGATTCCGTGGTCCATCGGGCCAAAAAAAAGAAAAAGATCTAGCTCCAAAAGAAAAAGAAAAGACGGCAACACTAGTGATTCCGTGGTCCATCGGGCCAAAAAAAAGAGAGTGAAATAAAGAAGAGGACGAAACGGAAGGGTGGGGGKGGGGGGKGGGGGGGRGGGGGGGGRGGGGGGGKRGGGGGGGTKGGGGGGGTAGGGAAGGGGAACTAAAAGATCTAGCACATCATATTCTTGGATGGTGCACGGGGTTATGTTTGATAAAATATCTCGTCTAGCTTCAGCCTTCCCCCGGATAGAGCAGGGGGTTATTATTTGTGTATCTGGCCTCAAATCATTCTGAAGCTCTGACTGAATGTAACGACCCGGTGTTCTATTCAGAGGAACAACATGCGCAATCCCGTGGGAGCTCCCCCTGAACTCAGATCACAGTGGCACATAGATTACCTGAGAGAATGGGGAAAAGAAAAAGAGAAAAAAATGCAAGAAGAACCATACAGCAGACAAGGCATACTGATTATAGTGAGGGGTATGGGGTTGGCCTTGCCCTCCAGAACAGCTTTTGCACAAGGCTGCCAGCAATCTGTGGCGCATGCTATCGCTTGACGGAAAGGACAAAAAAAAGTAAAAAGGAAAGAGGGAAAAAAAACTTGTGCCCTCCTAAGCCCCCCTCCTCCGTTGGTACGCTCCAAGAACCCATACAGAGCAGACAGGCATACTGATTATGTTCTGTTGAGGGGTATGGTGTTGGCCTTGCCCTACACAACAGCTCATAAGGCTGACAGCAATCTGTGGCGCATTCTGTCACTTGACGGAAATGAAAAAAAGCAAAAAAGAAAGAGAAAAAGAAAAAAATTGCACCCTTCTAAGCCCTTCTCCTCCCTTGGTACGCTCCAAGAACCCATACAGAGCAGACAGGCATACTGATTATGTTAAGTTGAGGGGTATGGGATTGGCCTTCCCCTCCAGAACAGCTTTCGCATAAGGCTGCCAGATGTTGACTGCTGATAGGTCAACCTGCAGCATGTTCGTCAGACCCCTCATTATCATGAGTGTGCGCACGACCAACCATAGTGCCTGATTGAAGGATGCGAGAGGTGTTTTCCTAACCATATGGTCATCGCACATTGGCGATACCAATGCTTCCGCAAGGAACCGCGTGTCGAACATTATGTACGCCATTTTCACCACCGCGTCTTTGTCAGGCATGCCTCCGTCGATGTTCTTGAAGATCATGCCAGCATCGTTCACGGCTTCAAGAATGCTATCAACATCTCCGTCGGCAAGCGCAACAACAACTTGAGCTAACTGCCTCCTCGTCTGCTCGTCCAGGACCTTGCTCTGACCAAAATCCAGCAAACCCATCCTCCCATCCTCAAGGAGAAGGAGATTTCCAGGATGGGGGTCCGCATGAAATACCCCATCAATGAAAATCATCAGGCCATAGGCGTCGACTAGGTGAGTGAAAGCTTTCACTGCAATTGGGACCTTCGCCCTGAGGTGTGGGCCCGATTGCGGATTGATGATTTGAGTGAATGGAACCCCGTCAATTCGCTCCATCACAATCATTTGAGGCGCGCACAGCTCCTTCCAGGGACGAGGGCAGACAACATCCACCACGCCGTTCCTTTTCAGGTTCGAACCAATGGTATTCATAAAGGAAACCTCCCGTAAGAAGTCAAACTCCAGAGGAATGGTGGTTTGAATCTCCTTTACAACAGGGGTCAAATCGAACGGAAGCTGCTTGCGCAGAAACCTTGCGACCCTGCCAATGTTTCGAAGGTCCGAGTGCATGACTATGTCCATCCCAAGGTGCTGGATCTTCACGACGACAGGCGTTCCATCCTTCAAGATGGCACGATGGACTTGGGCGATCGACGCGGACGCAAGTGCCGTTTCTTCCACCTCGCGAAAGACAGCCTTAACTAATAATCCCTTTCCCTGACCTGAAGCCAGCAATGCCTCTCCTTCAGCACAGACTTCCAGCTGATGTTCAATCGACCGTGCAACCTCCGTAAAAGGTCTGGGAGGAGCATCATCAAATAATGTGGACAGACGCCTGGTCCACGCTTGGGGCATGAAATCACCTTTCGAAGCAAGCACTTGGGCCGACTTCACGTAGAAGCCACTCATCTCGAGAACAAGTCGATACACCTTCTCCCCACCCCACTCATGCCTCTCAGCCCACAACTCCTCCCTCCTCTCGGGCACCTTGTTTCGTGCCTCGTATTTAGTCCTCATGTAGCCACCATAAATTGGAAGTAATCTACGCCAGTATCGAAGTGTACGCCACAGATCTGGAAAAGATCTGCGGACAACGGGAGCGGCAAGCGACAGCACAAGCATAGGTGTGCTAAACATTGCAAATGGTTTTGCTGCCACCTTCGCCGGTGGAGGGAGAAGGACTGCGAGTGGCTGGACTTTGAGATTGGCAAGAGACAGGACTCTAAAGTATGGCCATGCCGACGTAGCAAATGTTTTTGCCGCTAAAATCACAATCACTTTCGCAATGAAGAGCAACGCAGAATTCGCAATTTTACTCATCGAGACGGCATCAGCATTCTGAATCTTTCCTTCCACTGAAAGTTCGACACCACTACCGCTTAGTACGCTTACCTCCCCACCTGATATGCCAACCCCTTCCCACCTCTGAGCTCCTGTGAGTGAATTTGCCTCTACCCCTCTCCTCCACAGACCAATCTCCAAGATGGGATGACCATTCGACTGATGGCGCAGACTACATGTTCCATGTCTTCTTCTTGACCCCCGGCGCACATTACCACTTGCCATACCACTACGATATCCCTGCCTGTTATCCGACATGTTTGACAATCCCTCCTCCTCTCCTTCCCCGACGCTCCTCCCAGTGCTGCTTCTCCAGAGGGACACAATTTGGGCAAAATGGAAAGAGAGGGTGAGAGGGCAGTGGAGCCAGACGAAGAGACGGATTCGGGAGATGAGCCCATGTGAGAGGGGTTCTTGGGGGAAAGAGGTTGTGACTCTGGCAGTAATGATCGCTTTGATCGGAGAAAGAACCTGAGAGGAAGACGTTTAGAAATGCATGCATTGATGATGTGCTGCCAGATCTGCTATCCTATCAGTGTCAATAGTAGTGGCCCCTGCAGGCCCTCCCTCATGATGCTCCAGAGAACCGTGCGCAAGCTGATGGCGGGGTCGGTATTGCCGCCTCTCCACCCTCCTATTCATGCTTAGAATTTTTGGTTTATTGATACGTCAAATAACCAAATAAGTTGAAATAACTGCAATACCATGGTGACGGAACAGCTGACAGCAGCAGATGAACAGTGATGACAACCGGCAGTTGCTTTGGTAAGCGACTGCAAGAGAATGGAGCTGCAACTCATGATCGGTTCGTACTCTGCTTGGGTCCACTCACTGCAGAAATCACCAAAATTGCCTCAAGTTCTCTTAACATTTTACCACAATAGAAGTCCTTGACAGGGCTACACATTTGTGTTGGAAGTCCCTGAGAGGACTGCACACCGAAGAAGTCCATGGCTCCAGGTCTCTAGATCTACGGCAGAAAGCACCGAAAGGAGACCAATCAGGTAGTGTGCAAACAATCATGCAAACACATGGTTGCGAGCACACATCCCCCCCCCCCCCCCCCCCCCCCCCCCCCCCCCC